GTCCAGAAGATAACTGTGTTCTGTATTCAGAGATGTCAAGTATAATGAAATACAAATACTTACGCTATGATAAGTAGATTTGTTTTGTTATTTAATGAATATTGTTATAACCTTGTTCATTTTATTTAATACCAATGATTATAAACCGGTCTAAAAATATTTCGGGGCACAGGGAAAAACTTTGAGAACCATTGCTTTAATTCATCTGTGTAATTGACTCAGCCTCAGTGTTTGCAACCCCTTAGCAGATGTCATTACAATGTTTTACAGTGCACTATACTGCATGGTGTTTCAAATAAATAAATAAATAAATAAATAAATAAATAAATAAATAAATGTTGAACCACTTCCCATCAACACTTGTCAGACCAAGAGTGTAAAATTAAAAAACAGAGACGTTTCAATTACATAATCTTTAAATAAGTCCAGGGCTGCCACTGTCAGTAATACCACAGGAAGCTGCTGCTGATCTGATGTTAATGCAAAAGAAAAGGGATAAATCACAGGCTACATTACAGTGCAGGACTATACAGGTATTTAATATATTCAAATCTACACGGATGCATCAAAAACCAACAGAAAAAATAAGAGTTGCTTTTATTGCACCAGAGTTTCAAATAAAAGTTAAAAGAATCACCTGTGGATTACTGCAGAAGCAATACTGTGATCATAAGAAGTGAAACAGAAAACTTAACCTTTTTACAATTGTTCTTTACCACTCATTTTCTCAAATAATGTATAGGATTTTACCTTAAGAAATTGAATAATATTTTTTTCAAATGACCTAAGAGTGTAATTGTCTCAATGCAGGGAGAGAGCAGAATAAGTAAGCCATGATATCCCCATCGCTTTATTTAACAATACCTGCCCTCTAAAATTAAGGTCCCTTCAAAGCCATTTATATAATAAATAAAATGAATGAATGCATAGAGTAAAGTGTTGTTGTTTTTTTATTGTAGTTTTTCAACTAAGGGGTAAAATGTATTGAGCATCTCTCTAAATTAGAGGGAGCGGGTTAAAACAGAGTAATATAATCAGCTCATATACTGATTTGAATTCCCCAAACAAAAACAGAACAAGTTTTAGTTGATTTATAAAAATGTGGTCAGCAGAGAGAGGCTGGAAAAGAAAAAACATCTCAAACCACCCTCCAGCAGGTGGCAGTAATGTACACCTTCGCTTTTTTTGCCAACCGCCACTGAGTCCAACTAGAAACAGAAGAAGAAGAAAGTGGTCTGCAGTTTTGGCGCGGTTGTCAGCCATCTTGGACCCGCTACACACCGCGAGCCTCCTCTGCTCAGACTTCATTGATTGTTTTTTGTTGTTGCTTTCATTAGGGTAAAACCTGCTTTGCATCCCAGCGTAAACAAACAATTAGTTGTTTGTTTTTCTCTCTCACTGAAGATAACTTACGATTATTTACGGAATCGTTATGGCGACCGCTAACGTTACTCCAAGCCGAGAATCTGGCCGGACAGCGGCCTCTACCCCGCTGTCCCCGACTCGGATATCTCGCCTGCAGGAAAAACAAGACCTGCAGCATCTGAACGACAGGCTGGCCGTGTACATAGACCGGGTCCGGTCTTTGGAGCTGGAGAACGACCGACTGATGGTCAAAGTGTCTGAGAAGGAGGAGGTGACCACTAGAGAGGTGGGTAGAAGAATAAAAGTTGAGTCTGCACTCGTCCGCGCCACGTGCGGTTCACAGATTTCCACTAAAAAACACACAATAAGTAAATAATACAACAAAACTGAGTAATACGTCTAATTAAAGCCGGCTTGATGTTGTATAGAGGGCTGAGAAAATTTTAATTGGAGGCCCGTTTTAAGTCATCTCCCGGCATTTTGTTTTTTTATTACTCCGTTTACGTTTAGTCTGTTTTACTGCCTTTAATCAAAGCTACTTCCGTTAACATACAGGAAATGGCGTGTGTGCGCGCGCGTGTGTGTGAGCACGTGCATTAAACATTACATGACAGTATGCCCGGGGTTATAATAATAATTTTAAAAAAAATCTGTTTTTGTAAGTTTAAAGCGTCATGGGTCTTTAGCTTTGGGGTTTGAAGACATGTCTGGACATTTATATTTCAGTTCAAGCAGGTAGAGCTTAAAATACATGTAGCAAAAAGTTAAAGAAAACATCGTTTTATGTTTAAACATAGCATAGTGCATGATTTCACCCATTTTGTCACAGAACTGTCATAGTTTTTATTATTTTTCCGAAGTGAAACAGGAAGTGACATCGAAGGGGAATTCTTAAAGAAAGAAAAAACCCGTGCTCTTTGTTTATTGAAACATTGAAGTCCACTCTTCATCTCCATAGTGACTGAGTAATAATCTGCACACACTTCATGTCACTGAGCATATCTGTGTGGTCTGCCTCAGTCTCCACTGGACATGTACCAGCATGATTTGTGGCGTGCGCCACTCCCCTCCAGTTTATAAATGTGAATGAAGTTACATCACAATCAGTCATTTGCCTGCATGGGAGTGTGGCAACTTGGAGAGTCTTTGAAAAGTTTTTAAAGTTCGACAACGCCACCTGGGACTTTCACCCCAAGAATAAAACTCAAAACAAGGCACTTAGGCACTTTCTACAAATTACAGAGACTGTGTTCCAAAGTTTAAATATAAATTTATTACAACATTTGCTAAAAACACATTATGTCTGAGGCAAGTTAAAACATTTTTTACATTGATAACTTCATATAGGCTGAGGGGTCCTAGTGACGGTAAAAAAACCCCCAAAAAAACAGACAAATAAACACACAGACACACAAACCAAATCACCCAAACAGTGCTCCACAATACAAGGAGTGAACAGGGCCCGTCACACCCAGGGAACCACCACCGAACACGAGACCGCCCCAGTCAGCTCAGCCTGCAACAAAAATAATGGAAAAGAAAAGAAAAATAATACCAATGAAGTTAAACAGGCCTCCCAATAAACAAGTAAACAAACAAACAAAAAAAAAAGAACTAAAAAGGGGCCTGGTCTAGAAATCAACTTTCATCGGATTCGGAGGCGAAAACGCTGCTGAACAAGGAAACTTGGGGACCCAGCTGAGCATCAAGAAGCCAGATGCAGGACCAGGTGAATGAATTAGTAATAATTAAAAAAAAAAACTAAATAAAACAAGCAAGCAAAGCAGCAGGTGTCCATAGACTGGGCTCTCTTTCCTGCAAGAAATTTGCATCTTTAAAATACTGACAATAATAATATATATAAAAACATGATCACAGGAGGAGGGTGCATACATACCACGCTACCAATTGAACACGTGTGAGGGGAGGAAGACAACCTCACTCTTGTTGCATGGAAGCCTCGTCTATTGCACACACAGATGAAGAAACCAATATAAAACAAACATACTAAACTAAAAATAAGCTGTTTAATAAAAACGCATACCGTCAGGAGGAGGAGGAGAAGGCACTTGTGTCCTACGTCGAGCAGACAAACTTTTTCCTCAGCTGAACAGAAAAAAAACCCCCCACCAGTTAACTCCAAAGATCCCAAAATCTGCCGCCTTCAACCATGACTGTACTCACCAAGCCAATAAGTTCATTAATAACAGTCCGGCTGCAAACTTCTCCTTCACTGTCTTAGAAAACAGACTCCGACAGAATAAATCAATTAAACCAGCTTCATGCCGTGGCACTGGTAACCCGGAAGTTCAGTGAAAAGTCACAGTAAGGAAACTGGCTCACTTATCTAGGGCACCCCTTCTGGTGATTGGCCAACCAATTTACCTGCTCAGTAAACTTGCTACAGGTAACACCCATTCTGCTACAGGAGTTTAGCCTTCAGGTGGACTGGACTCACAACAAACAGAGGCCTTTTTATTTGCCATATATTATGTGTCAGGAATCATCCCTGGAGTTTCCTTATTGCACAGGAACTGTGCGTTTTCATGTTCGATGAGTTTATCTGCTGATGTTTGGAATTTTTGGTATGTTTTGGGCAATTTCTTATGGTTGTTAGGCTTACCATGTTTTTTAGAAAAACAGTTCATGGTCTTATGCTGTGATATCTGAAACCTTCCTGCTCAATAGCGTCTGCTTGTTGGCTAAAAATATGACCACATCTAAAGATGGTTTATATTACCTGAAATAACAGCAGGTCTTGGAGTATTGTACAAACCTTTAAATATTTTTGACTAGTAAGGTAGAATTTATTTTGTTTGTTTGATGGTTTTGTTCAGGGGTGTCCCGATACAACTTTGACTCTTCCAATATGATACAAATATTGCAACTGTGAGTATTGGCTTATATCGACCTGATACGATATCAGAACAAATCTTACATACCTTCATTTATTTTGTAGCGTGGAATCTAAAGAAGTCTTGCTCAAGTCAAACAGTAAACAACAGTACGTGGAAAAACTGACCCATTTCATTAACCAGTGAGTTACATACATTTTTTTACTAAACAAATGTTCTACCATCAAATAAAATAAATAGAAGACCTTAAAAAATAACCTTAAAATCCAATTTAAGAAATATAATTTTAAAGTGTAAAATAATTCAAGGTCACTTAAGTTATTTATGCTGGATCTAAGCACCGCTGAATAGAAATGCTGGAGCAGACGTCTTGAATGGACTGCTTGTATCGGATTTTAGATGTAGGCCGATAATGGTCAGTTGAGCTTTTGTTTTATAGTCTATTTTTCTTAGTCAGTTTGTTTAACCTATGTTTTAGTTTTTTATTTATTTTTCTCTCCTATAGGTGAGTGGTCTGAAAGCTCTCTATGAGGCAGAATTAGCTGATGCCCGACGGGTTTTGGATGAAACTGCTAGAGACCGAGCCAAGCTTCAGATTGAACTCGGGAAGGCTCAATCTGACCTGGAGGAAGCTACTCGCAGGTACGATCCTGTTAAACAAGTTTTATTTATAGATGCATTGATTCTGGTTCTGTGGGCTGATGATCATTTTTCTGTTTTTACAACACTGACTTGTAAATCCTGATCAGGGGTAGACATAACCACTGTTTGGGTTGTCCGAGACAACCTATTTTTGCTGCGGACAACCAGATCACTGCAAAAACTGTCAATCTTACCAAGTTTTAAAATCTTATATCAGCCAAAAAGTCTTTTTGATCTTGTTTTGTGACTGATTTACTAAACAAGAACTGATTGTGTAAGAATAATGATCTTGTTTTCAGAATGTGTAAGATTATTTGTCTTGTTAGTCTGAAAATTTAACTCAGATTAAGTCAAAAATTTCTGCCAATGGAGTAAGAAAATTTTACTTGGTAAGATTCTTGAAATAAGAAAAATTTGAGTCAAATCAAGTATTTCAAGAATCTTACCAAGTAGTGCTGGGCGGTATACCGTTTTGTACCGAATAACAGTTTTTATTTTTGTTATGATATGAATATTTTGAATTCCGGACATTCCGGTTTAAATAGCTGAACGTTTCGTTGCGGCCGCCAGTGAACTGTTGTTTCCCAGGGGACATTTTTCCTTGCTGCACCGCTATGTGCGTTAGCATGCTAATGTTTGGAGCAGCTTGTTGCAGCCGGGGGTGGTGATTCCGCTGCTTATATTGACTGACGTTTAAAAAAACATCCTGTTTTCACCGTTGCTGAATGTAGTAAACACCTCTTCAGTGACGTGCACAGTTAGATTTAATGCGGTTAGTTAATATGGAGACTTAATGTGGTTCTATTGTGAAAAGCCTGCAGGAAGTAGTTCGTAGTGGAGTTAGAATTGACTGGTGTGCAAGGTGAGTCGTGCTGATAAGCTTTAATAAATAACATAAAACAATAAACCTGATCATAATCTTTTCTTAACCCTCCTCCTTCACGACTGGACCAAAATGCATGACTACTGTCTCCAACCACCAGTCAGAGAAGAACAGACACAGAGGAGGGAAACAGAGACACAGACAGAGGTACAGCAAAAGAAAAAAAGTCAATAAGCAGGGTTTGTACATTTTATTATCAGCTGAGCTGTGATGAAAAGAAAAATACCGTCAAATACAGTGAAACCCGTGAAAATATTGAAAATACCGTGATATAAAATTTTGATCATATCGGCTAGCTCTATTACCAAGTAAAATTTTCTTACTCCATTGGCAGAAATTTTTGACTTAATTAGAGTCAAATTTTCAGACTAACAAGACAAATAATCTTACACATTCTGAAAACAAGATTATTATTCTTACACAGTCAGTCCTTGTTTAGTAAATCAGTCTCAAAACAAGATCAAAAAGACTTTTTGGCTGGATATAAGGTTTTAAAACTTGGTAAGATGGACAGTTTTTGCAGTGTATCTCCTGGTTGTCCGGTGGAGAACCGAGCAAAAGGGTGTCCATCATTTGTAAAAATGAAAGGGAGAAAAAAACTTTGTAAAACCGAACAGAACACTAAACTGTAACTTTTAATAAGGTCATGTACACAGTATACTCCTGTTTAAGTGAAAATGTTTGACCTATGAGCAGAAAGAAGCTTATGAATGTTGAACTCTGTTTCAAAGAAGAGAACGAGGAAGTTTTATTCATGCAGATCCTGCCTGGCTGACTGAGAACAATTATATATAATAAACTTCATCCACTGAACAATATACTTGTTAAATTACATTTTTTTTAGATTCTTTTGGACAACCAAAATGTTTTGTGGACAACCAAGTTTTGTCAACAGGTTGTCTGCTGGACAACTTGAAAAATTTCCTTATCTCTACCCCTGCTGATGATTCAGATGTGGTCATCAGGGTTTCATTTGTGGAGGCCCAGTTTCAAAGTTGCTTACTTTCCTCCTGCAGTGCCAAGAAGAAGGACAGCGACCTCGCTGCAGCTCTGTCCAGGGTCAGCGGTTTGGAGGCTCAGCTGAATAAGAACGAAGCTTCTCTTTCTACAGCTCTGAGTCAGAACGCTGCGCTGACTTCAGAGCTCGCTGACATCAAGAGCCAGCTGGCCAAGGTGGGCATCACAGACTGATCTGTTCACAAACACCGAAGAACAGGGGAAACTAAACATATTTACAAAGAAACATTTTCCTAACCACACTGTGGACAAACCTCTCAGCAACACATTTGTTTCTATCGGTGTAAACATTTAACAGTTTTGAAGTGTTTAAGTAGGCCTGTCACGATAACAAATTTTGCTGGGCGATTAATTGTCTCAAAATTTATTGCGATAA